AAATATCAAAACAATTAGTTGAGATATTGTGGGTAGTGAGTAGTAGTTAGGGTATGAAAGCGTAACAAACAAACAAACTCACTTTTGAATTTATATTACTAGATAAGAAGGTAACAAAACATTTAAGTTTTGGGTAGTCATTTTATTTCTTTTGCTCTACATTCTTATATACCTAGATGCATACATTTATACTAATGATATACTTTTTGGTACTACTCAGTTTTTATTTATTTAATTCAGTCAACATAATATCTAACTTAATAATTGCTTTGGCATCATAAACAAAAGTATACATTTACATAGATTTTTTAAAGAGGAATGAGGAGTGCATTTTTTTCTTCATTTACTGATATTAAAATAGAGTTATCCATAACTTTTAATCTGGGGTGTGAGCCAGTGAAATTTTATAAAGCAAAAACACTTGACGTGTGCAACTTAACAATAAATACATTTAGACTGTCACTCATTCTTCTATTACCTTTTTGCTGTCAGATGGCATAGCAAAATACTCTTCTGTGACAACAGACTAACACATAAATGTTGCCAAATATTTATGTCAAACAGTGAACTTGTAAAGGACCTCATAAACCATTGCCACAGGTGATAATTATGTAGTGGCCATGATTATATTGAGGACATCTATATATAAACAGGCAAAACAAAATGGTAAAGAACCATTTTCCCTATGTTTGTTAACTAATTTTCTTTATTTTTGTTTTGTTTTGTAGCTTCTGACCTGTTGGTCTCGAGAGGTCTGCAATTCTGACTGATTAAGCTAAAGTGTATGTAATTAACATGATCATTTGTTTCGTGTTTAGGTGTGGTTTATTTTATATAATATCTATGTATTTAGAAGTACATAAGTATGTTTATCAGCAGTGATTATTATAACACAGGCTCAGCCTAGTTTAAGATTAGATGGTTGTGTGTTAGACGAGTCAATTTATTATTTTTCACATTTCTGTTAAGTAATGGAAAACTAAAGTCAAGTGTGTCTAGTATGTTGCGAAAATTAGTATGTAGTCTGTACGAAAATTTTATACAATGAGAATCCAAATTATATGTAAAATGATGAAGATGTAAAACAGAACTTTCAAATTAAATTAATTATTGTTGAATTTCACCAACAGGCAATCTCTATTCAATAAAAAAAATTAATTGTATATAGGAATACACCAATAACAAATAAGGTATTAAGATTAATATTTGTATATTAATCATCATCAACAGCCTTTGATAGCCCACTGCTGGAAAATGGTGATGATTTTAAAATTAAATAATATTTCAATTTCTCATTGTATGTATGATATGAACAAGTAAGGATTTTAAACGGCAGGGTACCTCAATTAACCTGTAGCATGTAGTTTTAAATGTAGCATGTAGTTTTAAATTTTCTTAAGATATCTGTCTCCAAGAACTTATGAACCACAACTTTTGCCCGTAGTTACGACCAAATAAATATTGGTTATCGCGGTAAAGAGCAGCATGTCTTTCCTCAAGAACCAAAGTATCTTCATACCAAATTGCATCTAAATCGGAACATTGGTTATTGATTTCCCATACAAACTTTTAAAGGATGTTTTCTGGGGTAAAAATTACCCTATGTACCTTACCGGGACTCAGCCGATCTGTGTACCGAATTTAATCCAAAAGTTCAGCGGTTTAATGACATCTTCCAGTATTTTTATAAGTGGTGACTAAATTGGTTACTCATCACTTTTGCTTAGATTGCCTTTTTAATTTTTAGGTTGTAAGTTTTTCAATTAAAGTATTTCAATGCTTTTTGATAATGTTTTGCATAAGACATTAGTGGATGGAGAGGCATTAGTGTTTAATACCACTGTTGCATTATTGGATTAAAGAGTTATTGCATCATATGTAAAACTATTTCAATACATATTTTTATAATATTACAAATTTTGAAACTAATACAAAATGCAAAATTTTCTCTTGCTTTTGTTCAAATAGTACATGTTACTACATATCAATACAATTTCTTATAGTTTACATTACATACTTTGATAACAACAACATACAAAGCAACTGATATAAAAATACTTACAATTTCCTATGCATAATGGCAAGTATTTATATAAACACATGCCCTATACTTTTAATATTCATTATTATTAAAAAAAATGTTAATCACAGTACAACAGACAATACACTTGTCAATTTTGAATGACATACCGGCAAAGCACTCTTGATTTTAAAAGAAAACTTACTCAGTTGGTCAAGTCAGTGTTGAATGAAACAACACTGCATAGAGAACAATATGAATGCTAATTAACATTATTATTATAAAAAGTGAGTCTGTTACACATTCAAAGTTTTGTATTTCTTTTTGTTGATGAAAAGTTAGTTACCAGGAACCTCTAGGTTGAGTGATAATGGACATTTTAGTACATTGGGACAAGTACTGTAATATTGTCTCTGAAGCAGACAAAGTAATAAAGCATGTGGAAATAGACTATTAGTTTCGATTTTAGGCCACACTATGCAGTGTTTTGTACATTCTGCAATAAGGATAAACTTATATAACAGGTACTTGTTCAAATATGTGAAATGTCTATAAGTCAAAACAACTATATCATTGCAAATTGACACATTCATTGACATATTTACTTGCAATATGCAGAAATTGGTACTGCCACTTCTGCCAAAGGAGTAATTAGCAGTAAATACTTTACATACTACTATATGTGTGTATGTTACGCTGTGTCATAATAATATTTCCAAAAAAAAACTAGTGATGGGAAAAGCTGCAGGCTGAAACTGGTAATCAGATTACCTTGTTTAGAAGAACCTTGGAATACTATTCAAACATGATTATGCAAACAAAGTCAAGGTTCATAGATTTCTAATAATAAGATATAAATAATGCTTTGAAACAATCACATGTTACAATTAACGATCTATAATATATTAAAGCTAAAGATTTTCTTTGTTTGTACAAATGCACTAATATATGAAACTACTCATCTGATGGGGTAATCATCAAGGAAGATTACAAGCTATGTACTATCATACTACGACTCTTAGGAACAGAATAGCCACAAAAGCAGATGAAACTGCAGAGAAAGGCTAGAGAGATATAATATGTATTAGATACAACAATTCAGCTTTTTCTTAAAAAAAATTGTTCTCAATTGATTGTTTTGAGTTACAGATTTGTTTATATTTTCTAATTCATCTTTCATATTATACTCACATATTATCATTTACATTGGGTGACATAAAGAATATCCACCTAATAACTTAATTTGGTCACTTTAATATTATCCTTATTTTATAATGTCATCAACATCTAATTTATTATTTTGCCCTTAAAATAAAAATGAATCTATAGGATCTTGACAACATGTCCTGTATGATTCAGGAAGTAGAGTTGTTGATAGCTGCACATTTAAACATAAAAGTTGGTGATATTAACTGTGAAAAAGATAAACATCATCCTAAAAAGCGAAAAAAGGTATAGATATAGAAGTCTCTAAAAGTACAGGAAGGCTGATGATCAAAAAAAGGATGTAAAAAAAATTATGGTAAAGGATGTAAAGACAGGATGTAGGTTCAAATCCATTTTTAAAAAACCTTATGTCTAAGGTAGTGTTGGGTGAATTGCTTGACACACTGAGAAAAAATATTAAAAGAATGAATCTTTTATGACAGTAAAACCTTGTACAATAAAATTACTTGGTTCTTAGGGTGAATATTTTAGCCTTAAATTTTGTCCATACACATGATCCATTATGCAGACAGACGTGATAGTCGCATGCTATCATGTCGAGCTATCAAATTAAGAAGATAAAAAGTATTTGTGCCAATCTAGCAAAACAAACAAACATGTTTTCCTTTCATAAAGTTGGAATAACCTAGATACTGATAGGTTTATCAACGTAATATCTATGTAAACTTAATTGTCTCTGTCCAGGTACAAGTTAACCTAAAAAAAATATCTAACATCATGTCTATTGGACAACTAGAGCACCTTTAAGATAACCCATCATAAATGAGATTGGTGGTTTTTTGGCCTAAAGATTAGAGATCCTGATTACTGAGCTAGAAGTTAAGGGTTATATTATCATTGAGCACAAATAATGATCTGATGAGTAAGGTCATTGTTATGTTAACCAGGAGTCTGGTTACCATAGTACAGACTCTGCCTAGTTTGGAATCAGACAGCCGTGTGTGAAATGTATGAAAATATTAATATTATTATTTTGTGTCTGGGTGTAATTAACCTAGAAATAAATAATTAATTTACCTAGAAATAATAGAAATTTATAATTATGTTTATGCATAGTTCAGAATCAGGATAGCAGTATGGGTGATGTGTTTAAGTATATTTTGAAGTTAAAATACTGCTATCATTAGAGATATATGATTTTAAACTATTGAGTAACTTTTGTGGTAAAAGTACAGAATCGAAATGTTCAAAATCATATTTTTCATATTGATTTCCATAACAATGTTTGGCTCTTTATTTGAAAAGATGCAATTTAGATTAGTAACACAAATTTGACTTTTAATATTATAATGGTCATATTGGTCATTCTGGTTACAAATGGAATGTCTGCTCATTAATATAAAAGATAATTCAATAGGTAACTTTTAATTTATAATTGTTTACAATTAGAATTCAAAAATTACAGCATGTGTTATTCACAATCACTTTATAAATGAAATATGCTATCACAAACAACTTTTCCAAATATACTTTCACTCAATGTTCACTCAAAAGTGTGAATCATAGTTTCTTCTTGTTTCCTATAATTCAATGTATTGTTAGAATGGCTATCAACTTATGATATATCCTTTAAGTAAGTATCAAATAGTTGCTCAGGAATGAATGATTCATAGTGAATGATAAGTTTTGTTTGTGACTACAAATACTACAATCATAATCTAATTTAACAATATGATACAAACCTTAAACTTCCTACTCAATTCCCATTTGTCTTGCATAAAAATTAAAAAAAATATAAAATAAAAATGCTTACGTAGATGATCTTTTAGTGTGCTCACTCTGCTGTGTGTCTTTTTCCTTACTGTTTTCACGCTTATTCATAATACAAGACTTACTGTGCAGGCAATAAGCCTAGCACTTTGTTCACTCCCTGATCCCAGCGTCTGTAGGGGCCGCAGCGCAGCCCATGTCACCAAGGCCTCGACGAGGACGAATAGTGTTGCGTCGCCATACCACAATCCAACACAGAGTCACTTTTGTCACTTTTATATTATTGCAATTTTTTTTATTCAATAACTATGATCACTGCACTATTATACAATTTATCTCAAAATCATTTTTGTTACACTGCAAACACAATTTAACCGTGAATTTGAATGTTTCGGCGACACCTGACTACTCGTAAGGAGTTTCCCAAAAAATAGTAGAACCCTTTCTCAGTAAGAAATAATTATTTTTATGTAAAGGGAGCGAGAGTGAATAGAGGTCGCCTTGCCAATGTTATGTTCATCGAAGAGTAACAACAAGCGATGTGGGTGTCCAACTTCAGTCAGATTATCAAATTTGCCAAGCAGTCAGTTAATCTTCCAGTAAGTAACGTTTTAAGTGTCGGGCTAATTAGTCTTTATTGATGAAAAGGAATGAATATATTGAAAAATGTAACAATTGACAGTTCCTAGTAAGAAGTCAACCCCAATCGTCGGTCGGCACAAATCGTTTTGAAATATTTTATAAGGATTCTCGGTAATGATGTTCACAGCACTATGAGGATCATAATTACAGTGTATAATAGCACAACACGCAATTTTAGTTAGCTTTTCTAAAGATTAGTCACAACGTCGCCGAAACATCAAATGGACATTTGTTCTGATAAAAAGTTTAGGTTTTGTAATGGCCACCGATGTTACACTTCTAACACTTCAAAATTCGTATTAAGAGGGCCGCGATACTAAATATTTCAACTAATATTAAATAACTAAATTACACGTTCAGGTCAATATATTACCAACTAACGATAAAATTTCTTATTTATAAAATATTTAACTCAAAGAATAGTCACTGATTCGCCATTCGGCGCATGCGCAAACTTGCACCAATTTGTGTTGTCAGAGTAGTTAAAAATAATTAAATGAAATAATTATTTCCAAGGTGTTTATTGAAATTTGATAGTAATTAATTAAAATAATACGACAGGGTACCATTTGAGGTATATTTATAAGTTTTGCACACAGGATTTCTAAAGAAAGAACCATTAGGCAAATACTACCGTGGAATAGTAGATACTTTTTTGTTATATGGCTACATTGTTCGAAAACCAAATGTTATGGTTGCGTTCCTGTTCTGAAAAATATTATATTTACAAAATATTTGGAATCGAAATGAACTTGAACCTGGAACCAAATATTTAGCCAACAACAAATACATTATTACTGACATTATCAATAATATCTGAATCATGTTTTTCTTACAATATTTTATGTGTAAAATTATATATCTCTCTCAATTTAAGAGCCAAGCCCTTGTCGGTGGAGCAATTGCCACTCCTCTCTATTTTCTGCGATCTGTTTGACCTCTTGATAGGCCACGACTCCCACTTTATCCTTCACTTGCTGAATGTGTATGGTGATCTAGGCCGTCCTCGTTTCCTCTTGCCTTCTATTTTTCCTTCTATTATTATTTTAAATCACATCTAACTTTCCGCAAAAATTAGACAACTTTATTAGACAAAAAAATCGTATTACTGTGATTGTGTCGAGTCACCATGCAATCTTTACACTTCCTGTCCTGAAGGTCAATTTTCGGAATAAAAGTTTAGTTCAAAATTTTGTTCCGATCTACTCTTGATCTCACAAATGTCATAAAAGGTATTTTCGTAATAAAATAGTAAATATCCAACGTTGACTGTAATGTTATTCTAGCTATTAACTCTGTAATGTTATTCTAGCTATTAACTCTGTAATGTTATTCTGCCTTCTAGGTTTACGTATTGTAACCGTAATTTGAATCGGTAATTACTATTAATAATTAATAATTACTATTTGACTACGAAAATACCTTTAATGACAGTTGTGAGATGGAAAGTTGGTTGGAACTGAATTTTGACCAAACTTTTATTACCAGAATAAGCCTTTTGTGTGCTGGCAACGAACGGACGACAAATTGAATACGAATAAGAATAAGAAAAACTTTAATTGTCCTTTACATCGCATACTTAAAATTAATTGAGCCGTCACGGGACGTCTGGCAGATGTGAAACAATTATTATGTAGAAAATAATGAGTACAAAAGGAAATCTCATGAAAGGCAATATTAAATAAATATAGCACAATTAAAAATATACAGCTTTTTCAAACCTGACGTACCCAGGCGACAAGTCCAGAAGCCAACAGCCGGTTTGACCCTCCAATTAATATTTCACATTAATATTTGTTAATGATATTCGTAAAGTAGCCATCAATTTGCAGTTGTATATCTTTCTATCTTTTTTCCATGTCTTCTTCATGAGTACCAGAGAAATAACCTTCAACATTGCAGGAGGTTCATTTAAAAGCAAAAGACGCTAAGGACTCAGAGTCTCCGAAAAGGAAAATTCTGAACAAAATGTTTAGTACATGCTAAACGCTGAGAAGATCTCTTTGTCGTATGAGGTCAAATCCATCAAAATAGTCAAATAAATAAAATAGTCAAAAGTCAAAAAAATCTATGAGTCTATATAGTTGACGGTTGAGAAATTTTTATCTCCGAAGACTATCCTGAGCGCAGCCATATCATGGTAACTTTGGAAAGCAGTTTCATAATTCAACTAGTGATCCGCCCCAGCTTCGCACGTTTGCAATGTAGTTACTACTAATGTGGTGTCAGTGTGAAGTAATTATGGGACTAATCCCACCCACACGCCCACCACTGTAACTCCTGTACACCAGGATCCACAGCAGTGACCCACGAACACACCGAGTTATGACACTCGGGAAGTCCCAGGAAGAAATTAAACTGTCTTGGAACCCGCAACGAAATTAATCAGAAGAAAATTGGAGGAGTTGGAAATACAGTAAATCCACTTCCCTCCTTAGCAAAGCGGGAGACAAAATGAAGTAAAATAGGCATACACCCTTTTAAACAGGGAAGCACCACGGCCACAAAATATTACGGGTCCTACATGAGCTATATTTGATTTCTATAATATGTATGGCAGAATCGCCTAAACGCACGGAAATTCACCCTAGTTGACACAAGATCCCCATAGTATACCGCCCCAGATGTCACCTGCAAGCTATTCAGCATTATATTAAGTTCATTATACCAAAGACTACATTCCCAGAGGATATGATGAGCAGACTGTTCATAATGAGAGTTAGGTGTTGAGCATTGACACAATGGTGACTCGACTAATTTAAATGAATACAACTTGCTCTTAAAGTTACCATGACCCGTAAGAAATTGAGCGACACAGTGATCCACCTCAAGCCATGTCCTCGACAACCGTTCGCGAACAGACGGAAAAAATTGGTAAAGATGGCGCCCCTTGGATGATTCGTCCCAGCGTTGCTGCCATTCGTCTATGAGGTCATTATAGACATCGGACTGCTGTTGAAGCAATCTTGTAATTTTACCGCGATCCCGCGCGCCCAAGAAATCGCATTCCATGTTTTGTCTTGAATAGTACATGGCTGCACGTCTCTGCACCTCGAGATCGACCGGAAGGACACCTGCCAACACCGGCAAAGCCTCAGTGCTAACCGTCCTATATGCCTTGCACAAAAATATCAGTGCAAGTCGTTGGCCTTGTAACAGTTTGCGACGGACAGCGCCTACGGTCGCCCTATCGGCCCATACAGGTGCACCATAGCACATAGAACCTAAATAAGTAGCTCCGTATATGATCTTTAATGTATTAAATGATAGACCCCATGTCGCAGTTGATATCCTTGTCAATGCACAGAAACTCTTTTTAGACTGTTCATTAACTATTTTAATATGTTCGATAAATGAAAAGTTTCTTTCTAAAACTAATCCTAGATAACACACTGTGGTTTTATTTTTTACAGTAACATTGTCAAATCTAATGCTCGGCGGTGATTTGAGGTTACCTTTTAAAAGTAACTGGAAGGTTTTGTTGGGTGCAAAAGTTAAGCGATTACGTTCACCCCATTGAGATATCAAGTTCAAACATCTATTGGCTAATCTCTCAAGCCCCGCCCTAGTATCAGATTCCACCAGTAATAAGCCGTCATCAGCATACGCGTTCAGAGTACATCCGGATGGTATTGGTATCGTAAGAAAATCGTCGAAGCCGATATTCCACAAGTATGGACCTAGCACCGATCCCTGAGGGCATCCCATTGTAAGCGCCTTCGACACAGAATGATGACCAAGTCTTAGTTTAGTTGTACCTTGTGAAAAGTACGAAGAGATAAGGGAATAAATATTTTTAAAACACCCCCGTGATTTTAATTTCAGCAACAGCATGGGCCACCATGCGTTGTCGAAGGCGCCAGATATATCTAAGAAAATAGCCAGCACGTATTGAAATTTTGACTCTGTGACAAACTTTCTAACCGATATAACAGCGTCAGTTGTCGATTTACCCAACGTAAATCCAAATTGTCTATCATGAAATTTGACTCCACCTGGCAGAAGCCGGGGCACTACAAGACGTTCTAAAAGCTTTCCTAACGATGGTAACAATGTGATTGGTCGGTAGGATTTAGGATCATCCGGTGGCTTGTCGCCACTTTTTGGTATTATACGAATATTACCGCACCGCCATATACGAGGAAATATTCCTTCAGCAATGCAACGTTTAAAGACAGTGAAAATCGTGTCACCCGAAAGTTTACAAGCTTCTTTTATCATTTTGTTAGATATTTTATCATCACCCGAAGCCTTGTTTAGCGGCAAGGATCTAATGATACCGAGAAATTCGTCTGAAGATGGTAAATCAGACATTGGAGACAGTGGTGGTTCAATGGCCCACTGCCTGATCTGTCGGTGATGATCAGTGTCGTTTTCCGGTCGATCGTCAGGTACGAGTGAGTCTAAAAGATATTCTGCTGTTTGTTCTACTCCTGTGGTGTATCTGTTATTAATTTTGATGTTCTGTATGTATGCGTGGTCGATTGATCTATTTGCCTTAAATTCGTGATACAAAGGTGACCACGGGCCCTCTCTATCGAGTTTATTAACAAGTTTCTGAATTAAGTTTCCCTTGGATTTTTCCACAGCAGCTCTGTAGTGGGACCTGGCAACTCTAAGAGCAATGAGAGCAATGTTGTACAAATCTCCTGTTACGTTATGTTTTTTAATAGTGTTTAATTTAGTGAAGTAATTAATGATACTATTATTATAATAGGACTATACTACAGGACATCTTTAAATGCAATATTTATAGACCCGCTCCGGTCCTGCCGGCCGCTCCCACCCGGGACCAACGTACGGCTCGACGGCCGTTGGACCTAGGATTTTAAACCTCTAATACCTTCTAAAATATTAATTTAAATGATATGCTGAAAAACAATTTTAATCTAAATTGAATACACAACATGTGTACATAAAGTATCCAATTGGATAAGGAATAATAATGTAATGTTTAAAATAGCTTCGAAAATAACCCTTTTTTATATTTAAAACATAAAAATGTTTACAGTTTTTTATCCTTAGGAGATAGATATACACCAAATCGGACTTTTTTTGTTGACCTTTTTAAGATACGAGTATACAATTCCGTAGTACATATTTTGGTCTATCTCGCAAGGTTTAGTCAGCGTTTGCAATGCGCTTAGCGCACAAAAATATGTTTTTACTACAAATCTTTGAAATTATTATTATCAATAATATGCATGTACTATACATATAAATCTTCCTCTTAAATCACTCTCTCTATTGGTGAAAACCGAATTAAAATCCGTTGCTTAGCTTAAAAGATCTAAACATACAACACTAAAAAAACGACTTTATTTTACTCTGTAAAGATGCATATATCTTGGTATTCTTTTATCTCTGTCAATTGCCTATTTCTATCGTCTGGCCAGCGTGGTATAGTAGGCCAAAACCTCCTTTCTAAGGAGAGGCCTATGTCCAGCAGTGGACTGTTGTAGGCTGTTGATGAATTGCCCATTGTAATGGCGGGTACAGACTGGTAAAACGTTACATGAAATGTATCATGCAATGAAAGAATTTGCCGTACCTATTGCTGCATGTATCATGAAAGGTAAAACTTTGTAACAATTTTTATAGTTTGGAATGATAAGCTATGAGCATTAGAAGCCGCGCGAGGAGCGATCGCGATTTGTCGGTTTTTCGACGAACATAAAGGGGCGCGCAGTATGAGCGGGACAGCAGCGTAGACGGTCGTTTCGAAAATCCGCATGTGAACGCAACGAACACTGAGACGAGACATCCCCATCAAGTTTTGTACTGTCCACTTATGTGCTGAAAACTCATATCTCTAAGCAGTTCTCCACCTGTTTTGCCTTTATACAATTCTGTGAGTTTCCAAAGTCAGGGTCTTTGGCGTTTTTTCATGAGTTCATGTATTACGAGTATTAATTATGAAGCACTGACAATTGTCTTCACAATGTGGTCTTCGGACTCCATGCTTCGTGTGATCTACCGGTTTTGTGTATTGACGCGCAAAAAGAAAAGAATATGTGACGACGGGCCGTATTCGTGGTGGAATAGCGGCAACAGACGTCGCTGGAAGTGCGTAGTGAATGCGCGGTAAGAGCGCGTTACGCTACGCTTGCTACGAACATGCAATGAATAGCAGAATGATACATTTCGTGTTACGTATCACTAGTCCGTACTCACCTTTACAAGCTTTGAACTTCATTATACCATAAACTACTCTATGGAGAACCGTCAGGTAATCCTTATGGACGTAATGAAGTGCGGTACAAGGGTTTTAGCAAAGGGTTTTAATATAACAAATTTTTCTTTTGCCTCCTAACTTAAGTTTTTTTTTTAATAGAATATTACTTTGCATGTATAATTAAACATTGTCATAAAAAATAGTAATTCCTAAAATTCGTCAACGTTTTTACTGTATCAATCATATTACGAACTGTGAACGGTCAGGGTCCTGGATTTTCTCTTTTTATTTTAATTATTTCAGCTTGCTATTTGTTATTATTATTTAAAGCAGGTATAAACAGTAAAAACAAACAAGAACAATAGTCATTACTTGTATGGCATTACATTTATGACATTATAAGACTAGAATAAAAAAATCTTACAAGGGAGGACATAACAAATCTTCACTTTTATGATGGAAGACTGCAACTTAGAAGTTATGATGATGGTAAAATTGAAAAAAAGAAACTTGAAAACATTCAACTATTATTATTTAGTCATTACCATATAGATCCTCTTATGTAATGCTTCCTCGCAAGGAACATTAAAAATAAAGAGAGAGAAAGCAAGTCAAAAGTATTTAAAAACTGTGTTTCTCACATGAAGTACTTACTGAAATAGTGTTCTCAATTAAGTTCTCACCAACGTTTATCTAACGTAGGAACAGATGTCACTCTTATTAACTTTTAGTTTTAGACGAATCAGAAAAACTAAAGGAAATTCTTGTCCCTTGATGAGTCTTAAAATTTTATGATGTTACAATTCCTTCTGTTCTACCGAAAAAAAAGTCTATCAGACATTTTTTTTTGAACTGTATAAAGAAAATAGATTTCATTCATCCTTTAAAATATGCAATTTCATTACCTATTTCTATTTAATTTGTTACCCTGCAAAACATCCAGCGTGTTAGTTGCCATCAGAATAAATATATTTTAGTGGCAGTCTATAAAACTATTTTGCAATTTAAAAACAACACAGTATAGGTTCCTACTTCTATTCTAAAAACATACATTCTTCTTGAGCTACTACTATTTTTTCTAATGCCATCTAGTGAGCACAAAAGGAATTAATAAATTTATTACACACTTAATTCGCTAGTACAATCTAGCATTGCTAAGTTAGCAGACGTTTCACGCTTATCAAATGTGCGGAGATAGATACAGTTGTCTTTGCCTTGTTATAAAGGTGTTTTCACTTCTGGTTTCCACTGTACCAAAGGCCAAACACCTTTCCATTGTTTGTTGTGCGACCTGAGGTCAGTAACATAAATTACTATAAATCACATAATATAGTCGGGCAAGAATCTTTTGGCGCGTGATCTACAATCGGAAAAATCGGAACTACGGCTGCCATATTGTGAAACGTCACGTCAGTGTTGTTCAATACGTCGTATTTTCTGTGCTACTCCGCTTTCTACATTGTTTTTTTTAACAGTATGAACGCCTTATACTTAAAAATTACCGCGGTTCCGCTTTTATTCAATGAACGTTGAGTTGAATTAAGATAAGGGTTGAAAGTTGATTCTTGTTGATTTTGTTCCCGTGAAACACCAAATTAGTCGCATTTTCGTTTTTCTGTGATAAAGTAAAATTAAATGATTTAATTAATGAGATATTTCGTAAATTCCCTAATTGTAAATTCCTTAAAATGTGAATTTAGGGTTACCAGGTTTTATAACCCCCCGTTTAAAAACTGGTAACCCTAAATTCAAATTTTGAGTCTTCTGTCAATGGTATCGCTAAAATGATTCAGGCCATATTCTCAATACGTTTATTGCATTCCACAATGTTTGCTTAGGTGGTAACTTAAATATGAGATTAGATCATCATGGACCCTATCGGGCACAGTAATAGATGAGAGAGGAAGAGATATTACAAATTAATAATAATACTTTAGTTATTTATGTACTTAATTTATTGGTTGCGATTTCGTTCAGCTACAGTCGTTTTTGTCACTCAGGTATTCGTCAAAACATTAGAAAAATATTATATTAAAATAAAGCACGTGAACCATACACCATGTTGTTTGTTATTTTCTGAAGGCTTCCTTGTACGCAGTCGCAATGACACGTGACAGCATAGAGGAGACAAAGATTCCATAAGACACTATACTTGTAATCTATCTCATTCTCTCTCAGGCTAAATCCTATTAATGAATGTATTTGTCTCTTTTTACAATCACTTTTTCGTTTCATCGAATTTTGAAATCACTACGGTGCTAAGGTTGTTTCACTTCAAAAAATGAATTATTTGAACATTATTATTTTATTACTAATCACTACGTAAAAGTATAAAGCCAAAGGGTACTTGCTTGCCCAACTGGGTACGTCAATCTTTAAATTTTGTACAAAAAATGAGGCGAGCGTTTAGCAAAATCATAACAGACTGACTTATAGAATTGAGATCAGAAGATTGGTAATATTATTTATTGTGTGTGAATGTTCAGATTACCTGTATTTTTTTCTACATAGTGAAGGTTATCAAAGCACTTCTAAAATACGCACATTTCAAGGAAGTACTTAGACCAGGAAAAGGAAGGTTTTCTCAAAAAAAAGCCAGCCGAGATATTTTGACATATTTTGATTCCTCTCGGTACATCATGATAATATAACTAAAATGCAACAGCTGCGACCGTGCCAATATGTTGTAATTTGCTGTTAAATTTTTTTCAACTTTTACGAAGAAATATACGATATGAAAGTTGTAGGTATTAAAAATATCTACAAAATGAGCCTTGGTGCGTTCCAATTGGTTATTTTGTGTACATTTCTTCGTAAAGTCGGCTTCTTTGCCTGATGTAACTTGTCAAACGGGATTATAACTTACATTTTTAACATTACATCTAGTAAAGAGACCTATATCTAAAAGTATATTCGTAGCATTTTTATAAAACCAATTTATATAACAAACGTAACTGTCGTCAAAGATAAAGAACATTCGATAGCAATTAATTAATGAGCGACACAGTACGCCGTGTAAGTTGAAGAGTGATGTCACATATATGTGTGCAAGAGCGCCCGGGCGAAATTAAAATGTAGTGGGTATGTAATTGATCGTAATTTCAAAACTACTCGCTCGTTCTAAGTAAAACAAAATTAACTGCATCCTTAGGGCCAGCACTGACTGATGTCGTGCCACATGGTACGGCAGGGCGTGCTTCGGCAGTCCGAAGGGCGCTTTGGTATGATGCGGCATGCCAAAACGTGCCAATGGCATTCCGCAGGAAGCCAAACTAATTAACTCTGGCACTGCATCAGTTTTAAACCTTATTTCAAATAAGTTAACTGTCATAATCCTGTGACCCATGTGGATCGAGGGACGCGATGGTACACCCCGGCAATTTGTGGAATGATACGGCATGCCACGACGCGCCGCAGTTTGATTTAAATAAAGTAATATGAATTGAATTGCGTCTCGGCAAACGTAGTGTAGGACGCCCACAGGCCAGGTGGAGTGACGATTTGCGCAAGATGGCTGGCAGGAGCTGGATGCGAGAAGCCCAAAATCGATCTAAGTGGCGTGCAATGGGAGAGGCCTATGTCCAGCAGTGGACTGCGATAGGCTGATGATGAAATATGAATTCTAAACTCATTGAATTAAAGATAAAAAGAACTTGATCTGAAATAATATCAGTCACCTTAGACATTTATTACACATGGCAATGAAGTTTCAAGTGATTTTACGGACCAACTGACATTCTCCATTAGGACTAGGTTAAAATTTTGTATTATATGATTTGTCTACGTACTTGGTAACAAATGGAGCTAAAAAAAGCTTTTTAAAAATATATCACTATAGTATACCTTTTAATTCGATTCCAGATTTGTCAATTTCAGTGTTGCAACGTTATGACAAGTACTAAATAGTGACGTTGCGAAATTATTCGATACGGAAATGGAATATTTCCGTATCGATTCCTCTCGTTTATAGTAGTATATCTAAACAACTACTACTTTAATAAAATGTGAAATAAATAAAAAAATGTGATCATGAAGGAACATGAGAAATAAAACAAATAGATGTATTATGGTAATATTTTATTTTATAAATCGTCGCCGTCATCGCTATCGCTATCACTGTTACTTTCTGTAACATTTATTATAAATGTGTCTGTGATATTGTCAATTAACATATCTAGCCTATTCATTTTTTCCTTTTCTTTAAGAACATGGGATACGCATTTAGACCATTCGGTAGCCTTAATTTCTTGAATGCCCTCCTCAAATAAATTTCGCACATCTGTCAATTTGAAGGTTTTATTATTTTGAGCTACATGCCCCTTTACCTGCGCCCATATCAATTCGATAGGGTTCAGCTCGCAATGGTAAGGCGGCAGTCTTAAAACCGTGATCCCATGTTGTCCCGTCTTTTTGTGATGTACTTGGCTGAGGATCCATTTTGATGGAAAACCAAAACAAATAGATTCACTCAAAGTTCACAAAAAACTACAAACGTAACAACAAACACAACGTAACAAAACTTTAACAAAAACCCAACAAAATAACAAAATGTCGATTCGCAATGAAACAAGATATTCGTGCAGTCAGACTGGGAGAATGAAGCCGAATGACAAGAGAAACAAAATGGTGATAGCTGCACGAGCGCTCACGGGTTGCCAATACTGAAAACTATCTAGGCTCTTTTATTATAAGTTTTGTTTTTAATATAAAAAACAAAAATATTAACTTTTTATAAAATAAAGCAGCGGTTACTAATTAATAAAAAAATATTATGAATAATTATGTATTTATTTAAATAAAAATCAATAATTTAGTCTTTAATTGGCACACCAATATTATGATTACATAAACATAAATCGCGATTGTTTATCGATTTTTGTGTTCATCACTACACTATTACATGTGGTATCATTATTTTACAAAATGACAGTAGCTAATGTCAAATGTGGAATCGAATTATTATACCTAGTATAGGGTTAAGATTATCCAGTTTTAATTTTCGAAGAATTTAAAGATCTAAGAATGTAAAAAAGAATTAAGTTTGAAATTAATATTAAATAATATTGTGGTTTACGGCCTCTTGAACTATATTATTTATATTGAGTTTCTAAGTGTCCTATAAATAAAGAAATTCACGACATATATTTTGGCAAGCATAGAAAAGCAAGGAATTTTAACCTTTTTTTAGGTTAAAATTAACCCTTTTCTAGTTATAAAGCCTTGGTAATATTTTCACCGTAGAACTGACCATTGTATCGATGGATAAGTCATAAGATAACACTTTTATATTGCATTAGCACAATTAGCTATAACTTTATACTGTACTTCTACCACAGACTAAATAATAACTTCAACCACATTGAACTAATATTACTAGCGTACAGCGTACATTATTACTCAATGTTCTACTACTTCTACCACTACATTATTGCAATGTCAATTTGGTATTCGAATAAAGGACTCTAGCTACAAATTAAGAATCTAGATTAAGATGGATCTGGAAAGAAATCGTAATTCTATCCCTTCGGGGATAAAAAAGTAAAAATTATGGCGTATATAACCCTTAACTGAACATTTTTGCAATATTCGCTTTTGGATTATGGAACTGTGAGAATTTTAGAAAATTTAGAGATAGGTAGGCCTTTGGAGGCCAGAGCCAAACATTGCAAATCTAGTATAAAAAAAATACCAAACCAACCAAAGGCTCACTCCCTTCCCCTCCCAGTAAGCGAGCGTGCGCGCAGCTGTTGACACGTATCTCACGTCGTAGTGTTTACATTTGCGGCATAAAGTTGTTTAAATTATAATTAAAGTGTTTGGAACCTGCAAGTAATAAGTAGAAAAGTAAGTCATTTATATTATTTTGTTTTCTAGCACTACATTTCTATGCATACTGGGTGCGTAGAATAAGTCTAAGAAAACAATTTTAAGTGTTTTCATATTGTATAGAATCAATGATCTGATGATATTTTTATTTCAGTGTGTTAGACTAGCTAGAGAAATTAATAAATCCTGGGACTCATAATATGTGCAGAAACGTTACAGTTTAATACTAAATGTGAAATGCTTTATAACAGACTACTTAATCAGTGCAGAAAAATGTTCCCCACTCTTTCATTTTAAATAAATACACAATGCCATCTTTTCATTTATTTATTTAACATAGATAACATTTGTTATGATATATTAGAAAGAAAAACGATATTAGCTTTTGATTGAATGTGTATTCGAAACAATTGATATGAAATGCATACCTACTTGTGTGCAATCTTTTTATGATTAGTTATTATAATGTTTGAGAGTTTGTAAGTACAAATGTATACATAACATTTAACATTATTATAATGAATATATAACATCTGTATCCGTCATAGCTCTTGTATTAATAATACAAGTATGAAACATTTAACCATAATTTTAGATGAAGGTCAGTCTGCACATAAACTATCTTTAGAGAAACCCAGGAAAACTTGCATATTTGTGATGCGTGGTATGAAATATCTATACTAAAATTGTAAGTTTGATTGTTTGTTAGAATGCGATAATCTCAAGAACTCATATTGAAGTGTTGGATAGCCTATTTATCGAAGAAGGCTATAAGCTATAAAACATCACGCAGACGAATATATGTTTAGTTTAAAACAATAATCCGTATCTATGGTACGATCTGTCTGTGCAAAAAAAAAAACATTAAATCTGTTAGTGAAAGCATATAGGTTAACGCAGATTTATTAAAAGCTCCTTAGTACTTGTGCCTGTTTAGCAAAGGTCTATCTGCGTAGTATAGTTAGAGTACAATAGATTTTAACCAAAATCGAAGCCACCTTTCATGTCCATTATCTTCAGTTACTTAACAGAAAATAACTTGTCTCTATTGTGTCGTAGCGTGCCGAGAAATGGCCTGTGATCAAACAAAAAAAGATGGGTTTGATAATCTGACCTGTAGCCCTAGAAGTTAGTTGGTTCAATCAAAAAACATGCTTTAACCTTTTTATTTTAGTTTTTTTTGCAGGTCTTGCCTGTTATTGATTATTTCTTTTGTGTATTTTAATTGGACTTCGTCATCAGCTAACCATAAATGTGATATTTAGTAAAAAATGGTAAAGTGCCATTTGTGTTTAATATCCGTGACGGCAGGTAGGTTAGCTAGTGTTTTTCCATCATAAAAATATATCCCCTTCGTATTGCAACATATTTAATTCGTCAAATGAACGTTAAAAGTACCTCCACATTAACACAAAACAAACAGAACACTTTAAATCGTTTTATTGCCTATAATAACGTCACGTTTAACTCATGTAGGTATTTGATGTATTATTTCTACAGCTGTTATGCGCATTTAATATGTTTCCATATTTAGTCATAATAAGTTTTAAAAAAATACAACCTATTTCAATATGCCTATATCACGATGATTTGTAATGAACTGTATTCTTCACACCCTTAACTTTTACACCTAGAGATGGATTTTGGAAAAAGATTAATGAGACTAAACGGGAACTGTACCTTCTCAATATAACAATAATTTTCCTAATCGATTTAAGAATGGCGGAGTTTTGAGGTAACTAACAAAAAAAAAAAGATCGAATAAAGACCCTCTCTCTTTTTTTAAACCGGTTCCAAAAAAAACAAGTTCGCTTCAATAGACTTGCATAGTTTTAATTTTATTTATAAGAGGCAGGGTCTGTTTTTCTTTGTATTTTTCTGTTTTTTAAGTTCAATAATATAAGTAGGCAAGTGACTGTATTTGTTACGTATTAATGTTCTTCAATTCTACACCGAGTTCGCCGATCGCAAAAATGTAGTAGTCTATAATAATACTTTTAATTGTTTTGTTTTATTTAATTGATATAGTGTAAAACTACATCATCATCATCGTCCGGAAGACGTCCGTTGCTAAACCTAGGCCTCCCCCACAGTTTGCAACAACAACCGGTCCTGTGCAGCCCGTTTCCAACTGCTTAACGCGACCTTAACAGTTAATAATTATTTCATCATTAGCTACATTGTATATATATATATACCTAAACTATTACTAAAATATTGTATAGACTAAGGTCAACTGAGTTCCAGGCGTCCATGGGAGGCGGAAGTCTCTTTTAATCAGGAAACATGTTGCTCATTTGCCCCCAGTGTCATAAAAAATGTTAAGATAAGAACTGGGGACTCCGCGATCACATTTATAATCTGCTAAAATTAGTGCGTATATTGTACAACTTCTATAAATAAAACCAGTATAAAAATATACTGTTAGTGATCACTATTGTAAAAAACAAGTTATAGCGCCCTTGGCTCATCATCGTAGTCAATTTTATTTATTTTACTGTTTTAGCTTTTTTAATATTCACGTATTTCCTATTTTTATGCCTGCTAAAAATGAGTAGGACAATGTAATTTTTAGATTTACTGACTTTTTGTTCATTAACGCCTTTTAATGAGCAAAAAAGTCACTTAAATGATTCCTAAATGGTTTACAATTTAAACACTAGATGATTTTGGTTAAATAGCGTTTTGTTTAACCTTACAAATTATCATCTACTTCTATCGCGTAATACTCTCGAATTTAAAAAAAACCTCAAATTTCGGTATACGAAAACTTTTTCTTCCAACCTTTTAATTTCTAGTTTCTTCATGAGAGAATGGTGAAAATGATATCAAGTTGATAGTGATCATTAAAATCATTTTTGCCATATTTGCACCAATTTGTGAGCAACTTTCTTTTATAAATAACTAGCTGACCCGCGCAACTTCGTCTGCGTCTCTCAATAGTAATAAATTTACTCCGTTTTTGAAACATTCTTCATTGGTGCTCCGCTCCTATTGCTCGTAGCGTGATGATATATAGCCTATAACCTTCCTCGATAAATGGGCTATATAACACTGAAAGAATTTTTCAAATCGGACCAGTAGTTCCTGAGATTAGCGCGTTCAAACAAACAAACAAACAAACAAACAAACAAACTCTTCAGCTTTATAATATTAGTATAGATAATTTAATAGCACTACCATTCCACATTTACATTTTTCTTTGCAAGTTTTCGCTTTATAATGCCCCCAATGCTTTTAACTCCGAATGCAGAAATTTGAATAAGTTGGTTAGGCAGATATGTAGATCAGATGTGTAGACAGAGGTCAGCAATCGGTTCTTACATATAATTTTGTTTTAGACAAATAATAGACCCGTAATAATCTCCCCAATTAAACTACTTCTCCAATCTTTCTCACATTAGCTTATAAAGTAAGTCATTGTTTCTATAATGGATTGCACGACCATTGTAATCACGTAACAATGTGTAATTAACCAATAATGTTCTCATAGTTATCACGGATTATTCGATTATTTATTTAAATCCCACCAAAAACATTTTCATGTAAAATGTTGCCAAAAAGGAGACTGATCTCATGTAGAAACAACCTTCTAACTCTACACGCATTAACTCTACAAGCTCTAACTTCACAAACTCTACACCTTAGTCGAAATATGTGGCTTGGCCGTTTCGTTACAACAACTTTTGTATAACAAAAAAGTAAAAAACTGTAATTAAATTTTTCACCTTACGCCCATGTGACGGTAGCGAAACGGTACGAAAGCCGACGGTCGTAGGTTCGATTCCCATCCAGGACAAATGACTGTGTCATGAGCACGATCATTTGTTCTGTGCCTTTTAATAATGTAATTTATCTAAAATATATATGATTTTGAAATATTTAAGTTTGATTATCAGCAGTTTAGTTACCATAATACAGGCTTTGCGATCAGATTGCCGTGTATCTATATTGTCACTGCCGTGTATATATAAGTTATATTGTCACCCTATAAGTATTGTTTGGACTTTTTCGATTGGTTTTACCAAGATTTATCGAAATAGATTGTGTTCAGGGATCAAAGTACCTAGGAGGGGTCTGGCAGATGAATGGATGTAACTCTATGTACTCTATCTATGGGCTATCTAGTAACTCTATGTATGGGCTCGTAGTTTTTCTCTCAATTAGTAAGATATTCCTGATATTCCTGTATTTTTAATATCAGGGACAAAATGCAGGTTTTGTTTTCTGCATTGGTAGAAGTTAATGGACTAAGGCTAATTAAGAAACATAAAAAAAATACACTGTACTGCGATCAAAGTTAGGAACAATGAATGTAATTTATACTTGCCGAAGTATAGTTTTCCATAAACAACAAGCTTTTTGAAAATAAATTATTGGATAAACCCTAATAAATATAACTTTATTCGTTGTTTTAAAACACGATTAAATGATTTTTTTAAAATTCGTTTTGTCTTTACAAAGGAAAATAATGAAACATAATATAAGATATAAAAACGGCGTGAGTTGTCTATATACCCCGGTAGGAACGAAGTTCCTTTAGCTTTGTGATATTATCTTATAAGATATAATATCACAAAGCGAAAGGAACTTCGCTATAGAAAATATGATATAGTATATATAGGTACTATATCTCATTTTCATTAAGAATTTTAGTGAGAATAGGTAAGTTATAGTTACTAGGTAAAGTTTTTGATTTCATGACATAAAGGAAGTCGTACTTTTCTTAAAAATGTCAATAATAATTATTAGACGGGTCTGTTGGTCTAGTGGTTAGTGAGCATGACTGGTAATTCGGATGTCGTGGGTTCGATTCCCACCCAGGACAAATATTGTGTGATGAGCACGGTCATTTGTTCTGTGTCTGGGTGTAATTTATCTATAATATGTATCTACTTAAAAATATATAAGTATCTTTATCAGCAGTCTGGTTACCATAGTACAGGCTCTGCCTAGTTTGGAATCAGACGGCCGTGTGTGAGATGTGTGAAATATATATTATATTAATTAGGTTTATT